CTAGTGCTTGTTAGTAGCGCTTCATTTTGTTTACGCCTTTGAAACAAGGTATCTTTAACAGAAGGACACAAAGAGAGTGAAGATTACTGCTAGACTTCCTAGGTATTCTCCCAGCCATTATATTAGCCCCTTGGTTCGAAGAAGACATTTGCTGGTGTCCGATTACCAGGGACCAGCAATGTCCATGTGGGAGATTACAGGAAGCGGCATCAGATACTCTTCTTCGAAAACACGAAACGGGAAGGCGCGAGGTTTCGATGGTGGTAGATAAAACTGTTTTCGAGACACTTTTCTTTTTTTTTTTCTTCTCGAAAAATACTACATCCTACCCACGCGAGCCTCTAATTTGCAGGGTTCAGTGACTTCTCGGGTTTCTTTATGGTATAATCTTGTTGTTAAGAAAACAAATTAAACAATTATAGATGTTTTTGTAGAGGCGAGTTTTTTTTTAATTCAGCGCCACGTTTATTGATGGTATCGGTTCCGTCACTAAATTGGGCGAAATGATACCTTTGATGAGGTACTAAAAACCCGTGAATACCCATTTCTTTTCACTAGAATTTTAAGCTAATTTGATGACAAAAAAAAAGATAGCCTTGGGTTAAAAAATATTGGGTTATTTAGCCCATATTACCTTGTTATTTTGACATGTTAGGGGGTGGAGTCCATTCCAAACTGCTCAATATTTTTGTAGGCCTTTTTCTTGTTTTTCTGATCAAATTATCTTATGATTCAAGTGGAAAACAAATGGGTGATCATGAGTTATTAATACCTTATTAATACCTTACAGTTCGCCTGAGAAAAAAAAAATTAAGTTACGATGAATAAATTCCAATAAATCTCATCAAATTACCTTTACCCTTACAAATCAAATTACCTACAGCATCCTTTAACAATACCCCACTTATCCCTGTTGAACAAATCCGATACCTAGGACTCCCCCTGGACAAACGACTCACTTGGAACCCCCATACCAGACTGAAACGACTAGAAATCTCTCGACGTTTCCGACTTCTCCAGCACTTACTAGACAAACACTCTAAACTTCCAACTATTTACAAAAGACTCATATATATCACTATAATAAGGCCTATTTGCACTTAGGGAATCGAGCTTTGGGGCTCTACTAAACTATCGAATTCCTCTCGTATCCAATCCCTTCAATCCAAAATCCTTAATGCTCCCTACTTTGTCACAAATAAAATCATCCATAATGACCTTAATGTACCATATGTTTCCAATTTAGCTCAATCCAGATACCTGTCCTTTCATAATAAACTTCTGAACCATCCGAACCCTCTTGTTTCCAACCTTGCTTCCTCTTCTATCCTCCGAGGCGTCTGAAAAGATGATAGTCTCGGGACCTTCTAATATATAAATATAATTTGAGTGCTACCAATGGGTAGTTTCTCTTTATGTTGTACATGTGGTGTTGCTTGTTCATATTTGCTTGTTGTATTTGTCATTTAATACAGTTGTAAATTTCTATAATATAAAAAAAATTACTATGAGATAAAACTATTCACGAAGATTTGGGCGGATGTTAATAAATGCAAAAATTGTGTAAAAATTATACCATGGGCTATATTAAAAAATTGTCTAAAATCGGTAGGAAAATCGTGTGAGTGGACACACCAAATTTTTTTTTTATATCCAATTATTCATAAGTTATTAGATATACAATATATAAACGGTAGACTAAATTTTTAACTGAGCGTGTAGCGGAGCGATATAGAAAGCACTGGAGGGTTGTGACAAAAGCTCTGACATCAGAGCGCTTACACAAATGGAGTCAGGTTGCAAGGTCTCCTAGGGGCAGGTTCATTTCTCAGTCCTTCAAAATTTAGCAGTCTCATTCATTTTTAATCTCATGTATTATCCAATATTACCTCTTTGGATTTTTATATTACATATTTATTAAGCATTATTCTGATAACAATAAACCAATTAAAATAACTGATTGTTGAATAACCAGACATCAAAATCCAACTCACTTTTATTTGGATGCAACCAAGACAAATCTCAACATATTACTTTCACTCTACGATGTAAAATTGTTCACAAATTTATTTCGACAATTTCTAAATCCCTCAGACAAATAAGTTCAATATCTTTGACTCACATTTGTCAAAAGAATGATATGGAGTCCATATATCAGAACAAAACAAAAATTCTAAACCTAAGATTTCTATACTATATTCATTCTTATCTAGAGATTTGAAATTAAAATTTAGACATCAATTGAATACATATACTCATAGGTGCAGACTTTCGAATTTCGTTAGTAGGGGGGGGGAAGGAGCTATGGACTAAAAAAAAAAACTTGCGGAAATTTTTTATTTTGTATAAAAATTCAACATAATTATTGTGAATTGATTTTTTTTTGTTTTACTTAAATGGCCACAAGCCAAGTATAAAATTCGGCATTTAGTGGTTACCTATTTCTTTTTTAATGAAGAGAAGGATGTTTTGGGGTGATAAGTCAGAAATAAAAAGGCAAAAATGAATAATAATATTTATTTTAATATTTGATGTAGAGATGGTTGACCGTTGATATGATATGAGAAGGAATTAGTCGAGGGTGCGGTCAAAAAAATAAAAAAAATTAAAATATATAAATAATTTTAATTTTTGCCGACGTTTCGACCCACTTTGCAGGTCGTCTTCAGGGCGTTGGATGTGGCACTGCGCCAACCGCCTCCCGCAGTGCCACATCCAACGCCCTGAAGACGACCTGCAAAGTGGGTCGAAACGTCGGCAAAAATTAAAATTATTTATATATTTTAATTTTTTTTATTTTTTTGACCGCACCCTCGACTAATTCCTTCTCATATTTTAATATTTGTCGACGTTTCGATCTGAAATTCATTCCTTCATCAGGGCTGTTCGAAGAGATAGTTCGAATAGAGTGTCTATTCAGATAGCGGTTACAAAAAATGCCTGCTTGGGCTGATTTATTATGAATGCAATATTGGAATTAAAATATATATATTTTATGTATAGAAATAAGAACCATTAGTTCAACCTTGCATCACGCAAAAAAACAAAAAAGTATTTTGCTGTTGTAACCATTATTTAGTGAAAGATCTATAACATTTTGAAAGCATCCTTAAAAAAAAAAAAAACAATCCACGAAAGTGGCTCATCGAAAGAGGCTAAATCCCATGAACTGTTCCTCGGAAAATGGAATATTCAATGGTTCTTTTTCTTTTCTTTTTTTGTAGGTATTGTATTGTGTTTTTTTTTTTTCCTTTTTTGTGTGTGTGTATGTTTTTTCTCGTTACGTTATACCGTTTCTCGGCCAGAAGAAAATACCGTTGAACGTAAATATGAATCATATTCGGCATACATCTATATTAAAAAGTTCATTGTAGTGTGTGTAGGTATGTTTTTTTTTTTGTTTTTTTAAATTTACTTATCTTTAAGTTATTTTATTATTATTTATTGTACATACTTTTCGGTTATTATTTTTCTTTTGTTTTATTTTATTTATTAATATTTTATGTATTAATGATGTCGATGTATTATTTTCTCTCGATAAACATTGTCCATATGACAGAATGTTATATTATTAAATAATAAAAAAAAAACGTTTATCAGAAAATCATTTCGTGGAAATATTTCGAATGTTAAAAATATAGTTCGTGTTACAGACACCTTTTTATCAAATTATTAAGACCCGACTGCAACTTCATAAATAGTTTCATCTTATTGTAACCTACAAATATTTTATTTACGAAAATTCTCGGGATTGGATCGTTTTCGATCTGAAAGTCGGTCAACTTTGTCTATTTAATTAGGTACTGAAAACTCGTAAATACACATTTGTTTTCCACTTGGCTCGTAAGATAATGTATGCATATATTATATATGCATATATCTTATTGGACACCGGGACTGAGATGCCTTAAAATGGTGTTTCCTTGAATTCAAGGCCCCCTTGATAAAAGACAATCAGATGAAATCACAATGCATAACGTAACATGGTGAATGCAATATGGAAAACAAAGAATAATATCCATATTATTAAAAGGATGTGTTTTTATTTTTCGAAATAATTTTTAGTTATTTAAATGTAAATTTCAAAATTTTATTGTACGAAGATCAATCTACTTATGATTCATGAATAACTGTTTAGTAAACAGTAATAATAAAGAACGTATATTTAGACTATTAATAAATAGTCTTAGATGTATAATACCGAAGTATAAATTTAGAAAATCTCTTTTTTTACCAGTTGCGTTTTAAATATATTGTTCGTTTATTCCAAATCTTTGGTTGCACCCATTTTAAAAAGTGACTCTATTTTTACAAATTATCTTCTTATATTCAAGTCTTTCTTATATTTATACTTTTGTAAAATGTGTGTCGAAACAGTCATGAACATTTTTTCAGCGAATTACTCATCTTTTAAGACAAAGTCGAGTCTACATTTTCAGATAAACATCTCATAGGACGAAAAAATAACGATTTCTTATAGCGATTATTAAATATAATAATAATATATTACAAATGTGATAAAATAGAATAGAATAGAATAGAAAAATCAACTTTATTCTAGGACAAAGTCCCTTGAGAATAACAATATTGTACATAAATATTAACATAACATCTGGCCAAAATGCATATTACAATAAAAAAAACACAAAAAAAAAAAAACTAAAAAATAAGTAATAACAGAAGGATTTACATAGCTATACTGATATATTAAAGATATAATATGAGCGAGCAATAAGGTCCTAATACTGCAAAATAGTTACTAAAAACAATAAACTATGGACTTTTAAGTGAAATTTGAAATGAACGCCAAATTACTTTTGTTGTCATACCATTGTATTAACGAAAAAAATAATGATAAAAGAGTGGATAAATATTTACTTTAAATGGTTTACATATGTACCTTGCTATGTTCAAAGAATACAATAATAGTATTGTAAACATTATACATGTCTCATAATATTATCTAATCTACATTATATAATCTAAATCCTAAGATTTACCTCTTCAGTCGATTGATGATGATGATCAACACCAAAGTAGCAATCACCTGTAAAAAGTAATTTAGTAATTACTAAAAAAAAACCGTTCCTTACGTTTAGATAATAAACATAATAATATAAAATAACAACTCTATATAATAAAATACAAAATAATTTCAAGTATGGAATCCGAAGATTCGATTAGAAAAAAGGTTTAATAATTTAAATTTTTTTATTAATTAAACATATGATATGAAGACAATGAGGTTAAAACAGGTATTGAAATTCCGGAAAATCTTAATATGTATAATGATATAAAACTAGTTTTGATATACCACTGCGAGACCTAGACATACTAGCGTATTCAGCCAGGATTTAATTTGGAAGGGGGGGAGGTTAAGAGCTTTAGCCCGTAAGATTTTTTTTTATGTATATAACAATAATTACTTTTAGAAAAAAATAGAGATACTAACCACCTATAAGAAACAGTGTTTAAGTTATTATTGAAATCATATTAAATGTAATTATTCCAACAATAATTCTTTAAATGATAATTTTCCCTTAAAACATGGAAACGGTTTATCATTTTTGGGGGGTTTCAGCCGGAAACCTCTCGCCCCCCTCCCGTAGATCCGCCTGTGCCTAAAAACTAACCGGGAAATTATAAAAGTGTTGAAAGATTTGATAGGAATATCCTCCGCACAATAACCGAAGCAACCTGGGATCAGAGACATTAATGCAATGAGATGGACCAACTTTTTAGGGAATCTAATTAATCAATATCTCATGGTATGGAGGTAAAGAAGTTAAGATGGGTTGGGTATGTTCCTCGGAGTATTCCATCAGAAAGCCTATACCTAACAATCAATGCCTCAATTATATGCAAAAGACTACGTGGAAGGCCTAAAAGCAGATGGATAGGTAAAATCAACAGAGCTGCGTGCAGATAAATGGAAAGAAATAGCCCAAGACAGGTAGAGATGGAGCAGGCTTCTTAATGGGGCAAAAGACCTACATGGTTGGTAATGCCAAAAAAAAAAAATATATATATATATATATCTTTTTTTTTCAATAATGAACCATTGTATTAGATCAAGAAAAAAAAAAACGCTGCAAATTATTTCACAATGGTTTATTATTTCCAAACAACTATACATCTAAAGTAACATTACCTCCCGAGTTACAAAGAAAAATAAATAAAAGGTGATTCCAATTATTGGACTAATTTTTTTTTTAATCATTAGTAATAAGCTAAAGAAAATAGCATTACTTCAAAAATACATTCAAAATTTAAAAACCAAACAAACGATAGAACATTTGGAGTAGAACATATAAAAAAAACTGGAGACCATATTTTTGCTCCTAATTGTCCGATTTTTTTTTTTGTTTTTAGGGAACTCCGTAAACTTTTAAAAAACCATATACAATATGGACAAAAAGTGTATACGTTTTGAGTTATACGGAATTAAATTATACCATCCCTCGTAAATTTTTTTCCAGCTTCTTTTCGTTGAAGTATGTTATATAGATAAATTTAAAGGACATCAAGAAAATGACTTTAGTGAAGTTTCATTGAAATCTGTACATTCGTTTAGGAGCTACAGTGAATAGCAACGCAGGTTTTTTGGCCGCCATTTTGAAAGTAAAAGGCGGATGGTAATCTCGATGAAGGAGGATTATCCTCGGATGACCTCTGATTTTATATCCGAATTTGAAAAAAATCGGTCCAGTAGTTTCGGAGAAAATGCGCGGACGGCGGACGGACAAAAAAATTTTTATTCGTTTTTCGAATTCTACGCATGCTGAAACGTGAAACCCCAAATTTTGAGAGGGGGTTAAGTTCATGAATTTTTTGGTCGATCACAATGGTTGATTATTGAAAATAATAAACCAAAATTAAATCCTACATCCAAAAGTTGAGGTTTAACTTTTTACGATACGTAGAATCCTAAAATGGTATGCTGTAGCCCTAACCTTGTTCTTGCATATTCTTTAACCTTCATGCATATTCCTGGTCTCCGTTAGATTACGTCGTACGTTAGGATATGACTTTTATGTTCCCGCTTACTTCTTGGCCATCCTTAACCGTAACACATTAAAAACACTTCTTTATGATCTCTTACACCACAGTGTTCCTAACAACTTCATAAACGTCAAGCATTAAAACTTCCCTGCCGTAGAAGGAAGTCCCTGCTAGCTTCGGAATACAAATCGTGATGCGGAATTGGAATAGTCATCGAAGTGGCTCGAACATTAATATGTAGCAATCAGCTGTGAGCGAACCGATAAAGCAGTCCTTTAAAGTCGGCTTTTATTGCCGCGGGGCCATTTCTAGAAGGAGTGCCTTCGAGGTAAGTTCTGCACAAGATGGCCGAGCTGTGTTGAAAGTCGCAGCGATCTGATCGCATGCAAGAAAGAAAATAACGATATTGCATGTTATGTTTGTCTGCAATTGATGCAAATAATATCAGTGACCACTAGAATTACTACTATTTTTTTTAAATTTATTTATTGAGTATTACAACAATCTGTCACATGGACAATAGTTATAGTGAGGTAGGATTCACACTATATGTACAAAAAATATGAAATAAATAGAAGCAAAATAACAATAAATAAAAATCAAAAAGTATAAACAACAAATAAAATAAAATAACTGAATATTTAATAGTTGAACGTTGCATTATAAAGGAAAGAGATGGTCCGGGGTTGCGGTCATAAATAGGCTAAATAGTGGTAAAACTATTTTATTGAAAACCAACGTTCCGACTCGACTTTGCAGGTCTTCATCAGGAAGGTGTGTTCATCTAGGAGTTTCACTTAGAGCTGGGTTCTACCCCTGGGTTAAACCCCTCGGACCATCTCCTTCCAAAATATAATAACCTAAAAATAAGAAAATTAAAACTAAGCAAAACCAAATACATACCTATATACACTAAGAATCACTACTAGAGATGTTGGAAAAATATCGATATTTTATATTGATATAGTTACATCGATGTATTGATATTTCACTTTTATTATGGCCAATAATAGCCGATAATTACATCTATTTAGACATTAAAGGCAAGAAAAGCCAGGCGACCAACAAGTTAAAAATTTCAATAGAAAATTATACTTGATAAAAATTAATTTATTTTATTTTATTTTTCCTTTTTTTGGTCATAATATATTCATACAATTATAACACCTATTCCACTAAAAAATAATCCTTTTTTTTTAGCAACATGCTCATACCATGATACCATAATATGGCCAATTTCTATATTCACTGGATATCGATACCGGACCACGTATATTGTCACGGATAATTTAGAATAGCCTGTTACTGGCCTTCGATACCCGACCCAGTTCCCTATACCCCAATAACAGTATCGATATAATAGCAACGTTCCGATATTTTCAGGTCATTTTGACAGATCGATATTTTCTGTAATCCAAGCACTGGAAATGCCAGTGCACCAAAGCCAAGGCTGCCAATGGATATAGAATGTTTTTAATGGACACTTCGTGTTTCCAACTCTATTCAATGTCTCTTGCTATTACACAGCGGAGTAATACACGATTCCTCACAGCAGTTGTTTATATTGTAGGTTCATTTAGTACTATATATTGGTCAGGAAACAAATATGTGTATTATTATCAGCAGATAAATGTATTGTGAAATGAGGAAATTCATTTTTTTTCTTTGTAGATTACACTGATATATTCAAAATTAGAAACAAAAAAAGTGTAAAAATAATAATGTATGCGTTTAGTACTTATGCCAATGGTTTTTGAATTCTCTATGAAATATCTCAAACGATTCTGATGAAATTCATCCATTTAAAATTAAATTATCCTTAACATCAGGTAGGTATCAACCTCATGAAAATATTCTGATAGTACTTAACACTCCGAAGGTCGCCTCAGAGTCAAATAGAAGGTCGTTGCGGATCTGTAAGATCCAGTTCACTAAATCGATTTATTGATAAAAAATACCCAAAACAACACATATATCAACCAAAAAATAGCTATTCTGACAGACTCAGCAACTGCATGTAAACACCTAAAATTAATCTATCAAAATAAAGCACATTTCCTTTAAAATCATATCACTAATATACAACGCTAGCAACAATTACTTTTTCTAGTGGGTGCCTGGACACGTAGGAATATCAGGAAACGAAATGGCAGACAAAACGACAAATTTAAACCAAATACATCGAATAAATGATTAGGTTCCTTTACTGAATTTGTTAAGAATAGCGAGGGGGAAAATAATGAAAGACTGGCATTATTTCTATGACTGGGAATGTGCCTCGAAGGGTAAGGACCATCATGCAGTTCGACAGAAGATAGCACTGGTTCCATGGTTTGCGACTCTTAAATCTCATCTCGACCCCTCCAGCTTACTAAAGCTGACCAGGCTTAGGATAAACCACGGTAGAACTAATAGATGTCTACATCTAATGGGTATAGCTAAGAGTGGTCACTGCCCAGCATGCCAATGCTTGGAGGATCCAAGGCACATTGCCTTCTAGTGCAAAAGGTTCGAGAAGCGAAGAAGAATTAGTTTGGGGTCGCAAACTACGGATGATGGAGCTAACTTTCTTCGGTCGATGAATAAAGATAACACCCGTGACTTGATGAAGTTTTTACATGACATAAAAGCAATTATATAATAAAAGTCGCTTCTTATTCTCATTTAATAGTTATGAAACTACTGTAATTTTAGTTTTTAACTATTAGTCTTTCTAGTTTAAGTTCTATATAAGTTACATTCAGTGATCATCTGTCTATAAATAATTAATAAATGCCCAGTGTAATTTCATCTTACTATGACAATCAAAATATTTTACTGCCAAAATAGGACTTGCTTTTACAAGTCTTAAAGCCAACAAAAAAAAAAACAAGAAAAAAAAACATTTCTCATTGTACTGAATGAAAAGGATATTAGATGAGCTGTTTGTAATTCTTTATTGAGTAAAAAACACAGTTACATAATTTAAAAAAATATATATTAAAAATCCAAACGAAAAATACGTTGACAAAATTAGGAACTTGAACATTAAATTATGTTTACCAATAAAT